TATTTCTATGGTCATTTGTACTGTACTCAAAAGATCACAATGCTGGTTGTACACATTAGTGACACAACAATTTACAAGTAGTCCCCTAACATTCTGTATAGATAACAAATTCTGATCAGTCTATGGCTCTAAAGGTGTGTTCATAACCACAGATGATAGTAACACATTTAATAAGATATAGAACCTTCTACCTTAGTTTCCTGTGTGCTTTGGTCATAGCTGTGCTCTGCCACACCCAGCTGAGAATATCTTTTTAATGAGAATGTAATACTTGGCAATACATAGAAAAGATTTACTTAGTTGGGTGTAGTAGTGCAGACTCAGGAGCTGAGGCTGGAGGATTCTTCAGAGTTCGAGCCTACTTCAATCCAGTCTCAAAAGAAAGATAAGATGGATATATACCAGCTGAAAGTCTCAATCCCAATTTCTTATAAAGGCTGGGAAGATGACTCAGTAGTAGAGTGCTTGCCTTGCATGCATGAGGCCTTGAGTTCGATTTCTAAGGCACCACATAAGAAGAAAAGGCTGGAAGTGGCGTTGTGGCTCAAGTGGTAGAGCACTAGCCTTGAGCTGAAGAGAGACAGCACCCAGGCCCAGAGATCAGGCCCCATGACCAGCAAAACAAACAAACCAATTTCTTATAAAGATTTACAGAATTAATTCTTAAGGATTTGACAAGTAACTTGAAAACGTTTTCTTTAGGCTTTATTAACAAATATACAAATACAGATTTTTGGGGGGAGGGTAGAGGTTTTGAGGATTGAAATTCAAGGCTTGTACTTACTACACAAGTACTTTTCCTTGTATGCCATGCTTCAGACCTGGATGGGCGGGGAAGGTGGGGGTTATTTACTCATTTTAAGAGATAGGAGGCTCACAATGCTACCCAGACTGATCCTAAACTCCTGGGCTCAACGGAACACTCTTAACTAATCATCACTGGGACTGCAGATTGCACAACACCTAGCACCAGCTTTTCTCTTTTTTCTCCCCCTTCCTTTCTCTTTTTATTAGTGTATATTAATTGTGCAAAGAGGTTCTATTGTGATGTTTCCATACAAAAACACAACATGCTTTAATAAAGTTCACCCACTCAAGAAAAGATTTATTTTGACTCAGCATAAAGATGAATTTATTCTTGCAGTGATGAGGACTTATCCAAATACTTTGTATGCCAGGCAAGCATTCTACCACTGAGCTACAGACTGCAACACCCAACATAACAAGTGCTGGTGGCTTATGCCTGAAATTCTATTCAGGATGCTGAGATCTGAGGACTGTGGTTCAAAGCCAATCTAGGTAGGAAAGTCCATGGGATTTATCTTCAATTAACCACGAAAAGGCTCAAACTAGAGTGGTGGCTCAAGTGGAAGAGCATATCCTTGAGTAAAACAAGCTTAGGGACAAGTATCCAGGCCCTGAGTTCAAGCCCCAGGACCAGAAAAAAAGTTCTCTTCTGTAAGAGGGTAACCACAAAGGCTCCCTAGTTCTCTCTCAAAAAAAAAAAAAAAAAAATGCAGAAACAATTCACTTCTTCCCCTGGCTTTTAAGCAAAGAAATCCCCATTTAAAGTTAAACTCAGGTGGATGTCGGTGGCTCATGCCTGCAATCCTAGCTAAGAAGGAGGCTGAGATTTGAGGATCACAGTTCAAAGCCAGCCATGAAAGGAAAGCCAGGCAGAAAAGACCATGAAACACTTACCTCCAGTAAACCACCAGAAAAACAGAAGTGTCTCTGTGGCTCAAGTGGTAGAGTGCTAGGCTTGAGCTAAAGAACTGAGGGACAGTGCCCAGGCCCAGAGTTCAAGCCCCAAGACTGACAAACAAACAAACTCTAGGGCAGATGGTGGTTCACACCTATAATCCCAGCTACTCAGAGAGGTAGGGGATGGAGATTTGGGACCCACCCAGGCAGAAACTTAACTGAGATACCTCCACTGTCACAATCTATAATCTAAGCCTGATAGCTCTCAATGTGGGAGGCATAAGTAGGAGAACTTTGGTCAGAGGCTGGCCCCAAGCAAAAATGGGAATCTCTATCTAGAAAATAAGGCATGAGCTCTTGACTTCAATCCCCAGGTCCACTAAAATTAATTAAAGTGAAATTGATCTCTAGGCATGGCTCAAATGGTGGGACACACGCCTAGTGAGTTCAAACCCCATTACCACAAACAATAAAAATGAATTCATTCCACTTTAAATTAGTAGACAATAGGAACTGGTTATTAAGGAAAATATTGTTAGGCTATTTCCTTTAGAAAACTCTGTACAGAGGGTGCATACTGTATGAGTGTTCCTTGTTTAAACATTTTAAAACTCATGTATGGATTTATCATCAGGTTTTTTTGTTTTGTTTTGTTTTTGTGTTTGTACTGGGGCTTAAACTCAGGGCCTGGTTGCTGTCCCTAACTTTTATGCTCAAGGCTAGCTAGCAATCTACCACTTGAGCATGGCTCTACTTTTGGCTTTTTGGTGGGTAACTGGAGATAAGAATTTTGCAGACTTTTCTGCCAGAGCTGGCTTTGAACTTTGGCCCTCAAGTCTCAGCTTCCTAAGTAGCTAGGATGACAAATGTGAGCCACAAGTGGTCCAAGTGATCCACATGATCAATTTTGAAAGTAGATGACTTCTAGAATCCAGAGAAAAGGGACTTTGGTATTCTTAGTTAGCTAAACAGTGAAACAGAATTGTAGCTTCAGTTTGACTTTACCCAGTGGATGTCTGGGAGGCTTCTCCTCTTCCTCTTCCCCTTCTCTTCTTCCTCTCTTTTTCATTAACTCTTCACTTAATCAGAAGACATCAAATATCCAGAATGAACAAACAAAAACATGGCTGGATTCAAAGTGCAAAAAGCAAAGAAACTACAAGACCTTAAAAGAAAGACAGGTCAGAGTACAGTGGTCCCTGTAGCGTCCACATGCACGAAAAAGAAGAATATTTCTGTCTGTCCTAGTTGCAGGGATCTTTTGTAACTCTTTTTTTTTCTCTTGGGGGAAGGGAATGGTACTAGTTTTATGGTTTGAACTCAGTGCCTGGGCACTGTCCCTGAGCTTCTTTGCTCAAGGCTAACATTCTATCAGTTAAGCCACAGCTTCACTTTCAAATTGGTTTTGGCAGTTACTTGGAGATAAGAGTCTATGGATTTTCCAGCCCTGGTTGGCTTTGAACTGCAAACCTTAGATCTCAGCATCCTGAGTAGGTAAGAGTTCAGTTATAAGCCATAGGTGCTCATCCCTTTGTGACATTTCTGATACGGGAAACACCTCTTGCCCAGAAAGTCCCAGGAAGATGGCTGTAGTTTGGGGCCACCCTACCTGCTTCCGTCTTCCTTGAGTTGCCACTGTAGCCAACTCGTCTCAAGCTCAGGCAGACTCACTACTTGGTAGCAACTTGGTCCTCACCAGCCAACCCACCTGTCAGAGGCCAAGAAAGTGCCTCCTAGTATGATCTGTAGACTTGCAGCAGCAATTTCTGGTAAGTCATTGCAAATCCAAATTATCATCATAGCCCAGACTTACTGAGTCCAAAACTCTGCAAATGGAATCTAGGGTTCTATGTTTGAAAATCCTCAGAAGATTCTGAGGCTAGTACTGCTGGGGGAAAAAAATACGTGCTTCACTAAGTTCTTGACATTTTTTTTTTTTTGCTTTATTTTTGAGACAAGGTTATTTCATGTGCTTCAGGATGTCTCCTGCTGTGGACCATCCCTGTTCTTTTAATTATCTGTGAGACAATAATTTGATCAAATGTTTCAAGCTCTATGTGTTTACAACTCAAGTATCTTAGCAGGAGTGGTAACAGATCACACACACACACACACACACACACACACACACACACACGCCTCACCATACAAGGCCCTTCAGTGAGAAAACTCCTCCATGTCGTTCTAATGTATTTGCTATGGCCAGGAGCACAAAAGTGAACTAGTCAATGCGGTTTCGGCATGCGGCTTTTAAGTGCTCGTGTCCGGGCTTTTAAAATATATAGGCTCCCTGATAAGTGGATGCTAAATCCAAAAATGTTAGGTGATACGACAAAACTAACAGGACTTAAGAAACAAAGAACTCCCGCTCATCTGGTTGAACCACTACTAAATATCCTCATGCTGCTGATCACAAATATGGTATATAACATGTGAACCCTGTTATATATTACAGACTGTGGTAGACAATTTGCTCCAGGGAAGTTAGAATGAACTTGTGACTTTGAAATTATGTAATCACTTAATCACAATCAAAAAAAAAAAAGAACCTCGGGGAAGGGAGGGAGGGAGGGGATGGTAGGGGGAAAACAATGGAGGGGGTAACAATGTTCAAGAGGAAGTGTACTCATTACCTCACTCATGTAACTGTAACCCTCTGTATAGTATCTTTACAATAAAAAAAAGAAAAAGAAAAAAAAATAAAATATATAGGATGTGAATACAATACGGTCTCCAAAAGTCGGCACTGCCAATGACACAGTAACAGGTGCGTTCCCAGACGACGCCTGCTACTACAGTAACTCAGAATGTGAAGGGAAAGCTCTGCAGATGGCCTAAAGCTACTACCCAGAAAACGAGCCAATGACGTTTTTCTCTTCAGCTGAACCTTAAAGCCACGTACCCATCCAGTCCGGTCTGGGTCCTAAAAGGTGGTGATCAAGCCTTGGCACTGGCCAGACACCTGCTCGCGGCCCCGCCACGCGCTGACTGCATGCAGGACGCCCGCACCGCGCATCTGCACTTCCGGCCTGCGCTCCGAGAAGCCCCGGTCCCCGCGGCGGAAAGTTCGCGGCGTCTGCCGCGGGACTACGCAGCGCCGCGTGGGAGGGGCGGGCCTTCCTCAGATCTTTCGTCATCTCTAGTGCGACACGACGTCACCCGCTGGCCTGGGAAGATGAAGGGGCTAGCGGCGCGCCGGGCGTGCGCGCGCACGCACGTGCACGTGCGTCCGCACGTACTGGGCGAGCCGGCGCCGGACGCAGGCGCGTAGCGTCGCGAGTGGTGCGGTGCCGGTTTCCTCTCGGCGTGGGAGTCCGGCGAGGCCTCGGTCCCTCCACCCCGGCGCAGACCATGCTGTGCCGCCTGCGCGCACGGTGGCCTCGATCGCTGCGGCCGACCTCCCAGCTGCGCATTGCCGGCTCGTGGCGTCCGCCGGCCCCCGCGAGCTGCGCCCAGCCCCGGCCTCCCACGATGGGGGTGGCCGCGTCCGTGTCGGCGGTGGCCCCGGGCGGCGTGGGCGGCTGGTACGAGGCCCTGGCAGAGTCGACTCCCGTGCGGGCGGCGGAGGACGTGCTGCTGGGCGCGCACGCCGCCCTGGGCCTTCCCTGGTGGGGCAGCATCCTGCTCACCACCGCGACCCTGCGTGGCGCCGTCACGCTGCCCCTGGCCGCCTATCAGCAGTACATCCTGGCCAAGGTGAGGGGCGGCGCGCGCGGCCGCCCTCGCGGCGGCGGAGGAAGGCGGCCGCAGCTGCAGCCCGCGTGCGCGGTGCTGATCGGCCCGGCCAGATGTGTTAAATAAGAGATGGCGATTACCTGTCATGTGTCCCATCGGATTTGTGCTCCGAGCACATGTACTGAGTAGACTTGCCTGTGTGTGTGGGAGCGGGGGGAGGGGGTACTGGGGATTGAAGTGAGGTCCTTGCTGCAGTGTCATTTCAAGTCAGGCCTGGCTCTTGATTGAGTCCAGGTTAGCAGAAGAAAATTGTGTGAGACACCCTGTCATGTTACCATCTTCAAAGTTTTTAAGAGGGCCTGCAGCATCTTTTTGCCCCCAAAGTTAGTTCATCTGGTCGTTTTCTGACTAGAAGGAAACTACCAACCTAGCAGTTTGCAAACTTGATTTCTCCTCCTGGCCCTCCCACCTGCATGCAGCCTTTGTGTCTGGGTAGCTAAGGTCACTTGATCTTTTAGAGCATCGTTTTATGTTCTGTGGAATCAGAAAAGCGGTGACTTGCCCTGCCTATTTTAACAGCGGTAGATTGAATTTTAAAGTGCTTTGGAGAAAATGATGTAGATTATTCAAATGCCAGATGTCACAGCAGTAAGAAGACGGAACTACTTTGCAGAAAGAATATAGGGCGAGGAATAAGTGGAGTTGTCACATACTAAAGCATATTAATAGAGTAACTTTCTCTGAGAAAAGCTCAGAGCAAACTTGTAATCCCATGATCCTGTGAAGTAGGTGCAGTTAAGTAAGATGCAGTATTAAGTAATACGCTGCACCACACAGGTATACAAGCTGGAATATGGGTTTGTGACTGAGACAATATTAAATAAGTTAACTTGTGCTTTATTACTTTGATCATACTTCCAGCCTGGCTTTTTGCTGGTTACATTGGAGATGGAGTCCCACAGAATTGTTTTTATTTATTGTCGGTGGTGGAGCTTGAACTCTGAGCTTGAGTGCTGTCCCTGAGCTCTTTTGCTAGCATTCTACCATTGTGAGCCTCAGAGCCACTTCCAGTTTCCTGGTAGTTAATTGGAGATAAGAATCTCATGGACTTTGCTGCCCAGGCTGGCTTTGATCCTCAAATCTCAGCTTCCTGAATAGCTAGGATACAGGTGTGAGCCATCAGCACCTGGCTCCCAGACTGTTTTGGGGCTTCAGACCTCAATATCATCTCGAGCAGCTGAGATTACAGGTGTGAGCCACAGGTGAAAGTTAACATTTATGCTTACTTCCTTCCCTGTCCCCCTACTCCCACTTGGTATTGAACTCAGATCACTTGAGTTCTACAATTTGAGCAATGCTCCCTAATCCATAGATAGCCTTTTCCAAGCTGATCTTTTTTTTTTTTTGCTTATGTGGTGCTGAAAAATCGAACCCAGGGCCTCAGGCATGCAAGGCAAGCGCACTACCACTGAGCCACCTTCCCAGCCCCCCAAGCTGATCTTGAACTTGAAATCCTCCTACCTCTGCCTTCACTTCCGGAGTAGATGGTGTTGCAGACATGTGTCACTGTGCTGCGCTTAGACTCATAGTTTTTTGGTCTACAAACTACATTTTCAAATAAGAGAATGTAAGTAAAATTAAGAGTGGTTGTGAATAAAGATCCTTTATGTGCTTAAAAAAACTACTTTTTCTTTAGTTAGGTGGAAAATTTGCAACCAGAAATAAAGAACATTGCCAGACATCTTAACCAAGAAATTGCAGTTCATGCAAGGCAGTTGGGATGGTCCAAAAGAGTGAGCAAGTAAGTAGTTTCATATAAGACCATGAATGTGTGTGTATATGTGTATGCATGTGCCCACACGTGTGTGGTGTCAAAGATGATGTTCATTACAGGTTTGGATGCTCTGTAGATTGAACAGGAAAGTACTTCTTTCATTTGTTCATATTTCAACAGGTTACCCTATGACATGGTAGTTCATACATTGGCCTGAAAGCAAAGAAATGGAGGAAAAAACCTATTTTGTGGGTGGTATACATATGCATACATGTGCTGGTACCAAGGCTTGAGCTCAGCCGCACTTGGATAGCCAACGTGCTGTGCATTCAGTCATTATCTAGAGCAGTTATTCACATAACTTTTGTTTTTTTCTGTTTTGTTTGTTCGTTTTTTTGTCAGTCATGGGGCCTGAACTCTGGGCCTGGGCATTCTCCCTCAGCTCTTCAGCTCAAGGCTAGCATTTTACCACTAGAGCCACAGTACCACTTCCAGCCTTTTCTGTTTATGGGGTACTGAGGAATCAAACCTAGGGCCTCATGCATGAGAGGCAAGCATTCTACCACTGAGCCACCTTCCCAGCCCATCACGTAGCTTTTTTAAGATAATCCTATCCAGTGGTGCTACCTGTGGACACCACAGTTATTACTGGGAATTTATTGGTCCTGCATCATCAGTTAGCCTACACTCTTATTTGGTTGGTTCCCCCAATTTTTAGACTATGACTTGGTAGTTACCAGCATGAGGAAAAAAATACAAAATGTTTTGAACAAATATATATTAAATATGCTGTTATATATTATTATGTAAGTACAAACCTGCTAATCTTTTGAGGGTTTTTTGTTGTTTGGCTTTTTGAGAAGAAAAATGTAGCCCAGGCTGATCTTAAATTCTTGATCCTCCTGCTTTCTGAGTGTTGAGATTATAGGCATGTCCTACCTTTTATGAATATGAGCTTATGTCACTCCTTAGGGCTTAAAAAAAATATCCTGACATTTAAAAAGAAAAGTTGTGATAGTTTAATGTTGTTATTTGGTAAAAGTTAACAAGCCTCTGATTTTGCAATCTTACCATTCAAAAGAAATCTGAAAACTGTAGGCATAAACCAAAAGAAAAGACTGATAACAATTCACCTGGATAATCAGCAGCCTTGATAAAACTGTGGACCATGCTTCTACAGAACTAGAAAGATGGTTACCCAGAGGGCTTTCTAGGAACATGGCTCCATTTTCATATCCTGAAGAGTAAAATGGCATAGAGACACTCTGATATAGAAATCTGATTTATTTGTGTCATCCAGGGACCAGAATATGCAGGTGTCTTAAAGAGATGTAAAGATAAAAATAGAAGAATAGAAGGACCTAGAATATCTGTGTACTATCTTAATTCAGTAATTTGATTAACTTTAGCAAAACAGTTGATGGTTTGGCCCACCTTATACACAATGTATGATTCAAGAGACTTAAAAATTGAGACCCAATATTTGAACCAACTTGCATGGTGGTACACACCTGTAATCCCAGCCCTCAGGAGGCAGAAGGATATCAAGTTTGAAGTTAACCAGAACTTCATAAATACCCTGTCTCACAAACAGCCACAGAAAAACCAGCACTTGCCCTCAAGGAGACTTTAGAAAGTAAAACTTAAGAACAGACTAATGTAGCAAATAGAAAAACAAATGAAGAAAATCTTCATGAGAAAGTGTGTCGGAAGATATTGGGCACTTTGGTGGTCCAGTAGCACATACAGTACAAAATTATATAACTACAAAGGATATATTTTGAGAGCAAGTGATCGTGTTTGCTGGACTACAGAGTTGAGTAAAATATGCTTTTAGCTTTTGTATTTCGGATTTAATTGTATTCATACCATGTCAGTTCTGAAATTTTTTTCTGTTAAAGCCTAATTGGCCAAAGATAGGTGGCAGAGCCGATTATCAAATTATTGTCTAGTTATATATTATTCTGTATTAGTTTTGACAAGGGTTTATTTCCCCTTATGCAGCTCCTTAACGTGAACTATGACAATAAAACTTACAGGAGTCCAGATCTTTTAATCAGTAACCACAGAATGGGTGTGATTGTGCTTTAGGGATCAATGAGTACTCAGCAAAGTGACATTTTCTCTTTTGCCTTGTCCCTGTGCCCTTCATCCAGGCTCACTTACCTAAAGAATATGAGGAGGCTGGTTTCAGAGCTGTATGTTCGGGATAACTGCCACCCTTTCAAAGCCACTGTGCTGGTCTGGATTCAGCTACCAATGTGGATCTTCGTGTCTGTTGCCCTCAGGAATTTTTGCATAGGGGCGGCACATTCAGAAGGTACCCTTTTCCCAAATAAGTTCTCTAACATTGTCCTTTGAAAGGAGAAAATATCATAGCTTTCATAAGTGTTATTTACTGCCTTCTGTAAGTATAAGCAGATTTCCTATATTGAGGGGAAAAAATCGTTTTGAACAACAAATTGCATTGTGAATAAAAATAATTAAGTAGAACCAATGTACTTTATTAGTGTGCAGGACAACTTCTTGGAATTTTTAGACTACTTACGTGTTACATTCCCTCTACTGTGTTTAGGAGTTCTAACGTTTATATTACAAAACTCTCCACAGGCATTTCTGTTCAGGAGCAGTTAGCTTCTGGTGGGGTCCTGTGGTTTCCTGACCTCACAGCACTGGATTCCACTTGGATTCTGCCTGTCTCTGTAGGTGTCATCAACTTATTAATCGTGGAGGTCAGTGTTTTTATATGAGACTACTTTGCCATTTAATCCAGTAGGGTTTTGTTGCTGCCACTGTACATAACTATACATATACATATATTTCAGATAAGTGGAGAGCACTCTGAACAGTAATTGGGACTACTTGGTTTCCTGCTTGGTTTCTTTTTTTTTTTTGCAGTCCTGGGGCTTGAACTCAGGGCCTGGGTGCTGCCCTTGAGGTTTTTTGCTCAAGGCTAGCACTCTACCACTTGAGCCGTACGTAGCTTCGCTTCTAGCTTTCTTAATAGTTAATTGGAGATAGTTAATTGATTTTGCTGCCCTGGCTAGCTTTGAACCATGATCCTCAGTTCTTGGTCTCTTGAATAGATAAGATTATACGCATGAGCTCCTGGTTCCCAGGTGTCCTACATGAATTTAGTTTTATGATTTGTTTTTGATAAAGGTGGTAATTAAGATGGTAATAATAGTTTTGGGTTTTTTATTTGTTATCTGTATACATGTGTCTAATATGTGAATTTGTAGGTAGGGTTAGAAAGAGTCAGTATTATTACCATTGTCTTTTTCATTTTTTCTTTTTTCTTTTTTTTTTTGCTGGTTGTGGGGCTTGAACTCGGGGCCTGGCCACTGTCCCTCAGCTCTTCAGCTTAAAGCTAGCGCTCTACCACTTGAGCCACAGTGCCACTTCCAGCTTTTTCTGCTTATATGGTGCTGAGGAATCAAACCCAGGGCCTCATGCTGCAAGGCAAGCGCTCTACCACTGAGCCACCTTCCCAGCCCCTCACTGCCGTTGTCTTGGTACATGACTTTAGAATAGACAGTGTCTTTCTTTATAATATAAAATAGAAATGCATAATACAAGCCTTACCTCAGTCACCTATCCATTATCTCATGCTGCCTTACTCAATGGTTTAGGGAAGGCATGCTTATGACTTCATAGAGAGCTATTCTCAGACTTTGAGTAGAACATATGCTAAGTTACTAGAAACTTCAGAAATTATTTACTTCCATTGAGAGCTCTCTTTATATCCTCTGATCCCTGTTTTGAAAATCATATACTCCTTGTTTTTTCATAGGTGGATGCTTTGGTTAGAAGTCATGTTGTTTACCAGTTCCTTGTTTGACATGAAGATTTCCATTTCCAAACCCAGCATTGGTGGCTCACACTTGTAATCCTAGCTACTCAGGAAGTTGAGATCTGTAGATCAAGATTTAAAGACAGCCAAGGCAGACAAATCCCAGAGATTCTTATCTTCTTATTCTCCAATTAACCAGCAAAAAGCTGGAACTGAAAGTTTGCTTCACTCAAGTGATAGACTGTGAGCCATGAGTAAAAGTGAGAGTGCAAATCCCTGAGTTTTCAAGCCCCAGTACTGGCACATACAAACATGAAAAATAAATTCCATTTCCCACCAGAATCTAGCTGGGTACAACCTATGGTTTTTGAGTGATGATTTCTTTCTTTCTTTTTTTTTTTTTGTCAGTCCTGGGGCTCCAACTCAGGGCCTGGGCACTGTCCCTGCCTTCTTTTCTCAAGGCTAACATTCTTGAGCCACAGCGCCACTTCTGGCTTTTTCTGTGTATATGATACTGAGGAATTGAACCCAGGGCTTTGTCCATGCTAGGCAAGAACTCTACCACTAAGCCACGTTCCCAGCCCACAATCATTCTTTTTTTTTTTTGTCAGTCGTGGGGCCAGAACTGTGGGCCTGGGCGCTGTCCCTCAGCTCTTCAGCTTAAAGCTAGCGCTCTACCACTTGAGCCACAGCGCCACTTCCTGCTTTTTCTGCTTACATGGTGCTGAGGAATTGAACCCAGGGCTTCATGCTTGCAAGGCAAGCACTCTACCACTGAGCCACCTTCCCAGTAATTCTTATTTAGTACCTATCTTCTAGTGACCCTTCAAATTTCACTTAAGAATTTGCATAATGAGATAAGTCATGTAAATTATCAGTGCTTTGTTTTTAATCAGTATCTTCCACATATTCAGCAAGACTGAAAAACTAAGCATTCATTTTAATGCTTGTCTGATTAATACGCATTTTAATGATCATTATGTGTGTGTATGTCTTTTCAGATCTTTGCTCTGCAAAAAAGTGGAATGTCCCCTTTTCAGATGTATATCACACATTTTGTGCGTGTTGTATCGGTATTGATGATTCCAGTTGCTGCAGCAGTACCTTCAGTGAGTCATCACTAGCCTTGTAGATACGTGTGCTGAGTTGCCTCCTTTCTTGCCTTAGACTGGCTGGGAGCCTGCCTCTTCCTTTAGGTTTCGTCCTACTGATTGTAGTTTTTCATACTAACTCATCTGCCAAATAATACTTGAACAGTTCTTGGAATTGGCTAATTTTCTTTAAAGTGAATGTTTTTAAACTCTGCTATCAGACTGCCTCAACTTGCACTATACCTGAATATAATATTTGCCTATGGATAGATTACTTGATACATAGAACTTTTTCTTCCTGTATAGAAAAAAAGGAACAAAAACATGCGCTAAGGTTCATATGGGTTCGTGTATGTTATTTTATCTTGTGTTGCTTTTAAATTCTCTTTATATGTAATTAAACTTTTTGGTAGAAGTAGAAAATGAAGTAGTTCTGTTTGTAGTCTTTTGTATATTTCTCACAGACATTGTAGATGTGATTAAGAGGACAGAAGCTGAGACAGATTTGTCTCTGTCTTAATCAAAACCAAGATGTTGGCCCTAACAGTATAATTTAATTCTTGCCAGTAGTTGTGGTTATATGAAATACCTTACATTACTTGTGTTAGGAATTTTAAGCAGGATATTTTTGGCATCATATGTATTTTTCTGCTGTCACCTGAACATAATAGACTGTCATTAACAGCAAAAATAATAATTTGTCATCTCTGAAGTAGATATCTGAGAATCAGTGAATTAATACCAAGTTTCTAATACCTTGTTAGTGTAGAACAATAGAGATTCACTGCATTTCTGGAGAGAAGCAATACAGTTACAGCTGAAGGCACCCCCAGATGAAATAAAATAGGAGCAATGAAGCTTCAATGAACAGTTAGGTTCAGAATTAGTAACAGATCTGTTTGGATCTGCTGTGCCAACTCCATGTAGTTGTCAGAGGCTGTCCAATTGCTCTCTGTCCCCACATCCACAGCACTGTTCTAGTGACTGCTGGAGCTTGTATTGCAGGAATAGTAAAGGATGCTTTAAGTGTAGACATTTCCTTTTAAAGAACGTTGACAGAAGTGTGTTCTCATCCTAGTTCTTTGGCCATACCTACTCAGAAGAAGCTGGGAAGGATTTGTGCACGTTTCTATACTTGTTTTTTTTCTTTGTTTCTTCGTTTTTTTTTTTTTTTGGGGGGGGGGGGGCTGGTCATAGGACCTGAACTCTGGGCCTGACCTTTAGCTCTTCAGCTCAAGGCTAGCGCTTTACCACTTGAGCCACAGCACCACTTCCGGCTTTTTTCTTTTTGCTTATGTGGTGCTGAGGAATCGAACCCAGAGCCTCAGGCATGCAAGGCAAGCGCTCTACCACTGATCCACCTTCAAAGCCCCTCTTTCTTTTAAAAGATAGCAATACTAAATAAAATGAGAAATTTTTTTTGGAGACTGTGTCTTGATTTCTTTTTTTTTTTTTTTTTTGGGTCCAGTCGTGGGGCCTGAACTCTGGGCTTGGGCACTGTCCTTCAGCTCTTCAGCTCAAGGCTAGCGCTCTACCACTTGAGCCACAGCGCCACTTCCGGCTTTTTTTTCTTTTTGCTTATGTGATGCTCGGGAATCGAACCCAGGGCCTCATGCATGCAAGGCAAGCGCTCTACCACTGAGCCACCTTCCCAGCCTTGATTTCTAACTCAGGCTGGTTTCAAACACAGTTCTTCTGCCTCCATTTTCCAAGTGTTGGGATTATAGCCGTGTACTAGCATCCTTGGCTTAGGATTTTGTTTCTAAAAATGCGAAGGATTCATAATTAAATGGCAGCTTCTGGTCACTAAGGCTGTACTTATATATTTTCTTGCTTGATTGCTAAGTCAGATGATGATGATGATGACTGGCATTTACTCACCAGTGACCATTTTTCCTCATATACCTCTCTCAACAATACAGTGATCTGTAGTCATGTTAGGGAAGAGGAAACTGGGGTACAGATAGATTAAACACTCTATCCTAGGTTACTTAGCTACTTTGACAACATCCAGGCAGTTAGGCAACTACTTTGACAACATCTAGCTAGTTTGTTTGTCTTCTTCTTCTTCTTTTTATATTGTGAAAATACCGTACAGAGGGGTTACAGTTACATGGGCAAGGTAATGAGTACATTTCTCTTTTTTTAGGGGGTCCAGTCGTGGGGCCTGAATTCTGGGCCTGGGCGCTGTCCCTCAGCTCGTCAGCTCAAGGCTAGCGCTCTACCACTTAAGCCACAGAGCCACTTCCGGCTTTTTTCATTTTTGCTTTATGTGGTGCTGAGGAATCGAACCCAGGGCCTCAGGCATGCAAGGCAAAGCGCTCTACCACTGAGCCATCTTCCCAGCCCCATGAGTACATTTCTTTATCTAGCATTGTTGTCTACTCCTTTGTTTCCCCTTCCCATCCCTTCCCATCTCCCCTCCCCCCTCCCTCTTTTTTTTTTTTTGGTCTGTCGTGGGGCTGGGCCTGGGCCTGGGCCTAGGCCTAGGACTGTCCCTGAGCTCTTCAGCTCAAGGCTAGCACTCTACCACAAGCCACAGTGCCACTTCCTGTTTTCTGATGGTTAATTGGAGATAACAGTCTCACGGACTTTCCTGCCAAGGCTGGCTTTGAACTGCAATACTCAGATCTCAGTCTCCTGAGTAGCTAGGATTACAGGTGTGAGCCACCGGCGCCTAGCTTCAAATACAGGTTCTTAATGTAGGCTGTGGCTTTCATCTGTGCTTTTATCTCATTTATTCTTTACAGCAAGTATAGTTACTTTCCCACTTTATAGATGAGGAAACTAAAACAGAAAGCAAATTTATGCAAAGCCAGATAATAGCAAATTAGATTCAGACTCAGGCAGCTTGACTCAAGAAACTTGACTCTCTAATCTTACGGTTTTGCCTTTGGAACCTGACTTCCTGATACACACATACACACAGTGAGAGTATGTTGGAAAATGAGGTCTAGGGATACTAAGGTTTCCATGGTAAATGGACTCATTCCTAGTATTCCACCTGCATTACAATCAGCTTCTCAGGAGATAGGAGGAGGGAAAATGTGCTTAATTGCCACACAAGAGGTGAGCTTTTTCTTGGTCTCTGCCATCTACTTGCCTTTTTCCTTTCAACATACATCACTGCTTATTAGATCCCTCACAGGTATCTAGTAGCTGCATAGGTCTTGCTCATTCCCCATATACTTGTATTTACAGTGTTTTCATTGTCTGCTTAACTAGCTTTTGATATCCTTGAAGAATGGACCATGCTAACATTCTCATCTTCTCTTTTAGTCAGTTGCTCTCTACTGGTTCTGCTCCAGCTTCATGGGCCTCTCACAGAATTTGCTGCTGCGTTCTCCTGGATTTCGCCAACTTTGCCGAATACCACCGACAAAGTCAGACTCAGACACACCTTATAAAGACCTCTTTGCTGCCTTTTATGCCAAGTTCATTTCAAGAAAATGACCTGTTTTTCAGTCATTTTGAAATAATTGCAACTATCACCATCACTGTAATGTATCAGATTTAGGTATTATTTAATTTACCTTTTTTAAAAATCATGAACTTCATAAAGTACTATTCGCTTAGCTATAAAATCCAAGTATATCTGACAGCATCCTAGTCTTTTAGTACTAGAAATGTAGTATGTTTAATTCTTTTTTTTTTTTTTTTTTGGTCGGTTGTGGGGCCTGAACTCTGGGCCTGGGTACTGTCCTTCAGTTCTCTACCACTTGAGCCACAGCACCACTTCCAGTTTTTTCTGCTTATGTGGTGCTGAGGAATTGAACCCAGGGCCTCATGCACGCAAGGCAAGCACTCTACCACTAAGCCACCTTCCCAGCCCCATATGTTTAATTCTAAAAGTGTAAAAATGTATGTTTCTGTTTATAAAATCACAGCTCATTCAAGGTGCTGGTACTTGGGAAGACAGAATTAGATACCAAATGTTAAATTGTGCTAAATAGTATAGCACATCATTTTTTTGTAAAATAATAGGGTCCAGTGAAGTGATTTGTAATTTTTTGTATTGAAGGATGGTTATAGACTTTGAGCATGTCATAAAGGGCTGTGTGTGGCTTTGTCCTCATCAAAATTCTGAGCCTCACAGTCTGAGGACCCTCCCTGACACCCAGTTGTCCTGTGGCAACTCTTAGTTAAGAAATCCAGTGAATGCTGAATTAATGTGTAGCTGGAAAAAATATATTAGAAATACATGCAGTAAGCTGCTTTGTGCTAATGAGAGCCTGTAATCCCAGTTGCCTCGAAACTGGAGTAGGGAGACTACTTGATCATAGATGTTTTGGACCAGCTTTGGTAACATAGTAAGACCCTGTCTTAAAAGAAAGGATAGGAATAAAATAAAAACAAGGATATATAATTTGTGCATAAACATAACTACTACGATGTTTCCTATCCTGTTCTGAAAGAATGTAAAATGGTATATATTCCCTTCCTCTAATTTAAGAACTCTAGAATACAGAATATAACTCCATATACTGCTAGAGCCCAAAGTAGAAAATTTTAAGCATTTAGTCAAACACAATAAAACCAAGGTCAACTTCTTATAATAGAGGTGGTTTTAGTTTGTTTTCTGGTGTGTATGCCAGTACTCGGGATTGAATTGAAAACAACATGCTCTTGCTTTGCTTTGCTTTTTTTTTTTTTGGTCAGTTGTGGGGCTTGGGTGCTATCCCTGAGCTCTTCAGCTCAAGGTAGTGCTCTACTACTTGAGCCACAGCACCACTTCCAGTTTTCTGGTGGTTAATTGGAGAAATGAGTTTCAAGGAGTTTTCCTGCCCAGGCTGGCTTTGAACTGCAATCCTCAGATCTCAGGCTAGGATTATAGGTGTGAGCAACTGGCGCCCAGCTCTTGTTTGGGTTTTTCACTCAAGGTGGGCCCTCTAGGTTTTTTTTTTTTTTTTTAGTTTTTTTTTTTTTTTTTTTTGGGTCCGGTCGTGGGGCCTGAACTCTGGGCCTGGGCACTGTCCCTCAGCTCTTCAGCTCAAGGCTAGCACTCTACCACTTGAGCCACAGCGCCACTTCCGGCTTTTTTTCTTTTTGCTTATGTGGTGCTGAGGAATCGAATCCAGGGCCTCAGGCATGCAAGGCAAGCGCTCTACCACTGAGCCACCTTCCCAGCCCGCCCTCTAGTTTTTTAACTATACCTCTACTTCTGACTTTTTGCTAGTTAATTGGAGATAAGCGTCTCTTGGATTTGTCTGCTCAGGCTGACTTCAAACCAGGATCCTCAGATCTCAACCTCCTAAATAGCTAAAATTATAGGCCACTGGTGTCTGGATGTGGAGGTGATTTTAACTATTGTTTATTTAAGTTCTGTAGAATGCTTATAGGAAAATTGGACAGGTGATAGATTCATAACTTCTATTATTTGCTTATTTCATTTGGAGAGGTGATAAAATTAATTGTAATTCAAAATACATTCTTAATTAAGTTTGAGGCTGGATGCGTTGTGCATACCTATAATCCTACCTATTAAGGAACCTTGGGGTTCAAAGCCAGCTCAGGGATCTGAGAGACTTAATCTCCAGTTAACTAGCAAAAAGATGGACTGAAAGTGTTGTTAAAGTGGTAGAGCACCAGCCAAGTGAGAATGTGTGGCTGAGTTTAAAGCCCTAGTACTGGTATTAAAAAAAAAAACCAAAAGAAGAAATAATAAATTTGATAGGCATTTGAGAAAATTTTAGGTTTTTATTGAGAAAATTGTAACTTTTATTGTTAGAATAGACCTGAATCTGAGAAACCCTGTAATCTGTCTTACTGTTTACAATAAAATAAAAACTAAAGTGTATGTAGACATTTCTTTGAGTGATGTATGTTAACTTTTTTTTTTTTTTTTTGCCCTTCATGGACCTGAACTCTGGGCCTAGGCACTGTCCCTCAGCTCTTTAGCTCAAGGTGAGTGCTCTACCGCTTGAGCCACAGCGCCACTTCCGGCTTTTTCTGTTTATGTGGTGCTGAGGAATCAAACCCAGGGCCTCAGGCATGCAAGGCAAGCACTCTACCACTGAGCCACCTTCCCAGCCCTGTATGTTAACTCTTAATTGGTCATCTTAATGAATTTATGAACTTTTTCATAAATATTAAGCCAGGTGCCAGTGGCTCATACCTGTAATCCTAGCTATTCAGGAGGATGAGATCTTTCTTACCTAATAGCCCAGCTGGGAAAGTCCATGAAACTGTTATCCACAATTCACCACCAAAAAGCCGATAGTGGAGCTGTAGCTCAAGTGGTAGAGCACTAGCCTTGAACAAAAAAGCTCAGGAACAGCCCCCAGGCCCTGAGTTCAAGTCCCAGGACCTGCACACATATATAAGAATTAACAATACAGCGTAGAATTCGATGGTCACATGAGCACAGCTTACTGAGAGTGTGGAGCTGGGTGAAGGCAGCTGATTTTCAGGTTTTGGTGTGTGACTGCAGTTGAGACGCTGCTTTCCAGTCACAGTGAGGGAACTGAAACTTGAGACAGTCAGTCCTTTTTATTTGTGGGTTTTGTATTTGCGAACTGCCTTCTTGTTAAAATTTATTCATTTTCTCCAAATGAGTACTTGCAGTGTTGTCAAGGTCATTTAGTGAAACATTCAAGCCACCCCAATCACATTCTTAGTGGAGTTCAAACTAGTTAAGACTTGCTTCAGTTCCTGCACTGTGTGCGCTTTTCACACTCAGTGTAGTACTGGATTTTTTTCATTTCTTGGCTTTTTTGCTGGGATTTTGCTGTTTAAAATGGCCGCCAAATGTCCTCCACAGTGTTGTATCTAATATTTCTAAACATAAAAGGATTGAGGTACTAGGTGCTGGTGGCTCAGGTCTGAGGATCACGGTTCAAAGCCAGCTCAGGCAGGAAAGTCCGTGAGACTCTTCATCTCCAATTAACCACCAGAAAACTGGAAGTGGCACTGTGGCTCAAGTGGTAGAGCATTCACCTTGAGCTGAAGAGCTCAGGGACAGTGCCCAGGTGCAGAAGTTCAAGTCCCTGCCGCCCCTCCTTCCCCCCCCCCCCACACACAAAAGGACTGATGTGCCTTAAGGAGAGAAGAAATAAATACGTGCAAATTACCATGTGTTGGCAGAGTCCAATTTATTATCATGTGTTGACAAAAATGTGAAGCTTTGCAAGCACCCGACTTTGGAGCGATGATTCATTGTTCACTGATTTTGTTTTGTTGATGTGAATAAAGAGATACGACTATGCAAATGCGTTTTGACTTAAGATGAAGTTACATCTTGATAGACCAGGTTGAAAACAGCCTTAGTCAGGAACCCACACATCTGAGGTTAAGCAGATAGCACAGGGCCCCTGGTTGCCAAGGTGATGGGAAAATCTACTGTGCAGTTACCAGGGTCACTTGTTAAACCAGATTCATCTACAGGAATGCATTCTCTGACTTTCAAACATTTGCAGTCACCAAATGGGGACCGATGAAGATGCTGATAAAATTCCTGGGACCAGACAAACTGCCAAGAAATCCCTTACCAAGAAGAAGCAAGGGGCTGGTGGAAGCAGAGCTCCTACCCACTGCCCATACGTGATGCCCAGCACCTCGGGAGCATGCTCACAGCCTTCCAGCAGACTTGGGCATGCACAGATACACATCTGTGACTGCTGTCATGGTGTATTTATTTGGCTGCTGGATGAGGTCTGGCAGTCCCGTCATGGTGGTGGCATTTCTTTGCTCTTGCCACCAGCTTCATGACTCCCAGTTTGCTTTGTTGTTTTTTTTTGCCAGCAACAGTTGTTTATTATGATTATCATGTACTGCACATGACTCTTACTATTACAGGACTGGTGCACAGTAACTATGTTGACACCAGCATTGCTACAACACAACGAATTTCACTAGAGATGTTTTGACAGCTATGAGCTCCTTAGATGCATTTTTCATCTCATTATCATCTGTGGCACCCCTGTTGGATGTTTGGTCTCGTGTTAGACAAAATGTAATGTGACTGTTACTGGAAGAGGCGGTTGGTGTAGGGGCAGATGAGAGGAGGGGGCTCAGGGCCACCCTCTCAGTGCATCTTTGGGGCCTGACTCAGGGCTGCTAAGGACTTCTAGTGCCACTGAGTAAGCTCCAAAGGCACAGGGGAGTCTTATCACACCTAGGGGAAATTCAAATCCACATGCTGTTATGACTTCTTCCTGGGGTCTTTGTGAGTGTGTGTGTGCACGCATGCCAGTACGGAGACTTGAACTTGAGGCTTGTGTTCTCACTGGCAGCTTTTTTATTCCTGGCTGGCTGTCTACCTCAAGCCATTCCTCTTTCCAGCTTTTTGCTGGGTAATTAGAGACAAGAGTTTTGAGATTTTTGTCTGTCTCTGCTGACTTTGAACTGGGATCCTTGGATCTCAGCCACCACCTGAGTGGCCAGTAGTGCCTGGTAGGGTCTTAAAAGTCCAAACACCAGGAAGTATATGCCACTAGTGTTCAAATTTCTGGCATTTTAAAATCCATTGGAAATTTGCCAGGTGCAAATTACAGGCTCACACCTGTAATCCTAGTCAGCCTCCTGTTCAGGAGGCTGAGATCCAAGGATCATGGTTCAAAGCCAGCCCAGGCAGGAAAGTCCATGAGACTCTTGTCCCCAATTAACCACTAGAAAACCAGAAGTGGCACTGTGGC